ACAAAAAAGACAACACAATCACTAATTCCATGGTCTAGAAACCAAACAGAATCTAGCCTGAAGTTCATTTCCTTCTCTTTCCTCAAAATCTGCCATGATTTCAAACAGGGAGAAACAATGGCTACCTGAACCAAGCCCTACAGTATCTTAGTCTTTTATACACCTTCTCTCTCTGCCACAATTAATTTAAAACAAATCATTAACATTTGCATCAAGGAGAAAGCAGAGTTCATAGGTTACTGCCAATATGGATTTTTTGGAAACGCACTGAGTGTCATATGTTTTTTACCATGTCCAAGGTCAAATGACAATACAGCAACTCTGCCATAATGCTATAGGTGGGGTCCCCTGCATGCAGTCCTATTAAAATGGAGAGTTGCATTATTAACACGGTAATGACATGGGAGGTCCCATCTGAGCAGCTAGTGGGTCAGGAATTAAAGTGGGGTGGAGCACAGGGGGAGTACAGGGCTTACTGCAAAACCTAAATCTCCCTGGGTCCAAGCCTCAGTTTGGCACTACACCATGGTTGATGTCAGATCAAACGTTAAGTACTGACGAGGAATTCTGGGTTCTGTGGCCAGCAGAGACTTTCAGCATTTCAGCACTCACCTAGTTCATAGGAACTCATTTTACTTCCCTGCCTCTCAAGACTGCTCCTCCCCCAAAGATAAGAACTTTAGCCTGTACAGGTTAAGAAAGAGAAGGGCCACAGGGCAAAGAATGGGAGCCAATCACCAACTGCATTATATTTAAATTGTTACCATTTTGGTGGGAAGGGTATTTTAATCCTTTCAATTTAACTCCTCTAGAAGAGTCTTCATAGTTTTCAAAACATATTCCTTTTTATGGGTCTGAACGAGGAAAAAAAAAAATACTCCAGCAATTTAAAATATAAGCAAGTCCACCTGTTTATCTTTCTCGTATTCCTCGTGCTTTTTACCTATCGCACTTCCCTTGAGAATAGGTTGTTCAGGAACTAGGTGATTGATAAAATTAACGCAAGCTTGAACAGGGTATAATTTACTATCTGTGATGCCTTCAGGACAGACAGTCACAGATTCATAAGACTGCCTAAACTTCCACCTGTGCCGAGCCAAAGGGACCAGAGTTCATCCTATTTTTAAAGATAACCAGAGCTAAGCATCTGCCTTCGGCTCAGGTCATGATCCCGGGGTCCTGGGATGGAGTCCCTCATCGGGCTCCTTGCTCAGCAGGGAGCCTGCTTCTCCCTCTGCCTGCCGCTCCCCCTGCTTGTGCTCTTTCTCCCTCTCTCTGTGTCAAATAAAAAATAAAATCTTTAAAAAAATAAAAAATAAAGATAACCAGAGAATCAGTTTTTTGTTCCCAAGAAATCCAGCTCTCCCCAACATCCACTAAATCTTCAACCTAATTCTGCCACCCCCATTCCCACTTTGTTTTAGACAGTAGTGGAGAGATATTCTTTCTTGTAAAGATTTTTGTTCATAAAGCCTTTCTTTAGTGTCTGATCCAGCTAAAGCATTGGGCAATAAAGCCATCATCAGCAATGATAGTGTTTGCAGATGTTCTAGGTCTAGAAATCATTGCTGGCATGTCTACATGCTCAAAAAATTCTTGGAAGTCTGGTGGTTTCTAGAAAGCTTGTGCTTTCTTCTGAGAAACTTCTGAGAAAACCTCAAGGACCAAGATATTAAAATAAACACATCAGCTTGGTGACCACGTGACTCAGCTAAGCCATGGCTATTGACCCTTCTCCAGATTAAAAGAGGGTGAATAGAAACATGGGAGTGGGTGACTACCTTTGAGGCAAGGTTCGAGGGTCACCATAGAAGCTGTTTGCCTCATAACATCAAGTCTACCACCTATCATTTAAGCTATGTGACTTTGATTCTTGAGGGCTTTTTCTTCCCTTATTTAATGCAAGCCTTATTTAATAATGCAACCATCTCTGGGAAGGATTACATCTGAAACGATTATCTGGTGAGGACCAGCACACAGAGCATTTGGGAGGAAGAGCAAAGTGTGGACATGGAGGTGGGGGTGGGGTGGAACTATGAGAAGGAAAGACGAAATCAATGAAAAAGGAGGTAGAGGGCCACCAAATTTTGCTTTCCTCTCAATTTAGCCTAAAACTGTTAGCCTAAAATTGAGGAAAATCTGTCCTTCCTTTTGGATGTTATTTTATTGTTTTTCAACTTCCATGCAAAATTTCTGCTCCTCACCTAACACTCATGTTACAATATGGAATCTCTCTGTCCTGTATAGACCAGAGGAATAAGTTACCCGTATATCTGTTAGTCTTTGCATAAGATGAAATTGCCTATTTCAAATATTTCTAGTTTTTTTAGATAGCTTAATGCCCCATTGCTTCTTTTTAGTTACTTCCTGCTGTTAAATTAGGTGAAATGCTTTCTATGATTCCTGGTCAGTAAATACCCTCCCTGGGCTCAGAATATACTTTTAATTTTTTATTGTGAAGTAGACATGCATAAAAGTGAAACAATGTGAATGTGTACTTAATAAATAGGATATGAACACCCATGTAACTTCCAACTGGATCAAAAGGTAGGATATTGCAAATATCCCAGAGAGCCACCCTGATCACAAACTGCACATTTCTCTCTTCTCACTTTTATGGTGATGATTTTCTTCCTCTTTTTTTCTTTGTAGTTTTACCTACTATTTATGTCCCCAAGCAACATCATTTAGTTTTGCCTTTTCCTGTGATCTACAAATGGAATCACACTCTGTATTCTATTATTCTCGCATCTTTGACTCAAAATCATTCATCCATCATGTCACACAGAGCTGCAGTTTCTTCATTTTCGTGGCTGTAATGTATTCCAGTGTACGTAGCGCTATTTTAATCCATTATCCTTCTCACACACAGTTGGGTTGCTGCCAGGTTCTAGCTGTTATGAATAATGCCACCACACCTGGTGTCCCTGCCCCTGGTGTGTGTGCTCCTGAGTGCCTCCAGCGAGTACATCAATGACCGGGCACGCTGGGGCATGGTATATGCAAATCTTCAACTCCACTCGATAACAGGAAGCTGTTTTTTCCAAAGTGCTTCTTCCAATTTATATTGCCCATCCTAGTATATAAGAATTCCTGTTGTTCTAGGGGCGCTGGGTGACTCAGTCAGTTGAGTGTCGGATTCTTGATTTTAGCTCAGGTCATGATCTCAGGGTTGTGAGATCGAGCCCCGCTTCGGTCGGACTCTGAGCTGAGCGTGGAACCTGTCTCTCTCCCTCTGCCCCCAGCCCCTCTGGTATTATAATAACTTTGATGTTGTTGTCCTTACAGAACTGGCATGCAAACCATGCCTGTGTCCCTCAAAACTTAAAAACTCTTTCCAGGAATCATGCTTCCTCCCCAAGATGGACCCTCCGTGGAAGCAAAATCATGATCAATATCATCTGGTAAAGTCATTGTATTAAAAACTATACCAACATTCAAAGAAAATAAAAAAGAAAAGTATAAATAGAAACCATACCAACAGAATTTTAAAGGTAGCCTGGTTGATGTGACTATTTAAATAACTGCATTTCAGGTCAGTTTTTCAGTACCACTCCAAGATCCAATCCATTAATATTTAGATAAATGAAAGGGTCATTAACATTTGGTGGGATTTCCCTCATGAGAGTAGTTCATGAGACACTTTAGTCACATGTTTCATTTTCTACCTGTGACAGGCACTTGTGAGATGATCTACACGATCCCACAGTTACAGAATATTCAGTGACAGCCGGAAATTAAAGTAACAGAAGATGAGAGTGATATAAACTATTCTCTAAGAGACACATTTTTATATAGGCAATCAATTTATTAGGACACTCAACAAATGCAAGCAATGGGCACTTTTTAAAAAAGGAATTTAAAACTAATGAAAGAATAAACATCAAACAAGGCTCCTAAGAATTTATTAATGGTGCCTTTTTCTTTTTACTATGAAGGTCTAATAAAAAGCCTGTAAATCCTGCAGATACAGAAACAATTTTCAAGGAATCCAATTAACCAGAAGCAGTGACTCGGGTATGATATTGCCTACAAAACGGGACCAAGCTAGCTTTCAGTATCCCTCCCTGGATGCTAAGAAAGCTCGCAGGACAGGAGCAGCTAGCTTTCTGCATGTAAGTCTCCTCTCTAGTATCTCCATGAAATGACCTGTCAATGGGATCTGATCTAAAACTCTTCCCAGTGATGTAGACACTCTGGTGACCTGGACCCTTGTCGCCAACAACTTCAAACAGGCTTGAACTTCGCATGTATGAATATTAACCTCACATTTATCCCACTCTATAGAAACAAATAGTGAAAACGATTGTATTAACTACTTCTATACATGTCACACATTTTGGGAGGTTCACTACTCTTTACTTCCCTCCAAGATACAAATTCTTGCTTATAAAAGTACTACTAGCACAGTGTGGCGTACTTTCTAGTTGTCCAAATACCCCCATTCTCTCCTGTATGACCAAATGACTATGAAGATTTAGAGGTTCAGTGATTATAGGACTTAATGATTTTAACCCCTTTACATTTGGAAACTCTTTAAATCCCATTATCTCTACAGCCACAGAGAATTTTAAAATCAGCTTGGCCTTTCTGGCTCCAGGTCTAAGGATTACAGAGTTTTAAAGAATATAAATGCTTCTCTGCAGTTCTACAAAGAGCTGTCCCCAGCCAGTTGACCTCCAGGAAATAAAGCCAGCCCGTTCTCCAGCTGGTAACTGCTGATCAGAGTTTCAAAATAGAAAGATATGTACGTTATGCCACAAACCACCAGGAAAACAAGTAATTGCCTCCTCAACGCCACATGAAGCTAGTGAATCCGAAGATTCGATGTAGCAGGGGCCAGCAGACTTCAGACATGTGTCAGTAAATGTCTAAGAATGAGAAAACAGAAAATGCCAGGGACCCAAAGAAGCTTGTAGGGGCAGAGAGAGTATGTTCAGTGATTGGGAGCCTGTTACCTTGGATACCCATGAATCCTAGGAAACCCTCTGAAGTCTTACCTCTTGTGTCCTCACATTTATGTATCCATAGTGAGTTCGAAGGGGCCGCCTATATGTGTAGGAGAATGGTATCCATTTTGTGCCAGGCTGTCCAAAGCAGTTTAGCAGCAGTGGGAAATTCACTTCATTTACAAGGCGCACAACCAGCAGGAAGAGGAACGCTGCTATGAAGCTCACTGCGATCATAGACTTTCTCTACAAAACATTAAAAAAAAAAAAATGAATGAATGAATGAATGAATGAGCCAATGAATGACTTTCGACCAAAAGTCGTCACAGAGGGAGGGTCCTTTGTTTCTCTTTCTTTTTCTTCCAAAGGGATCAAAGGACTGTTCCATTTAGGATATTTCACTTGGAGACAGAATATAATCATTTGGTGACCAGGTTGCTTTCGTGAGCCTCTGAGAGCAAGCAGAGCAGCTTTCTTAGATTATCCTTCCCTCCATCACTACCCTTCCTTACTTCTCTATATTCCTCAACAACTTCTATTCAATTTTCAAAATGCAAATCAGACATTCCCAACTATATATAGGAAGCCCTTCCTAACTGCTCAGTTCCCTCAGACCATCATCTCTTCACCCCAACCTATCTACCCTAATAGAAACAAGCAGTCTTGCCACTCCCATACCTTGAAGGCACTTCTATTGTTGCATGTGTTTCATTGTATAATTATTTATATGACTTTTCCTCCATCTAACTGTGACATCCTGGAGAACGAGAAGGTACTGTCATACTGACCTTTGTATGCCAGGTCCTTAACACAGTACCTTACATATTGTAGGGGTCCAAGAAACATTTGACTGAATCAGTGAATGAATGAATGAATGGATGGATTTTTCACATCCTTGTAGACACTTTATCAACAATGACTTTGTTTCTTTATCTAGCACCTACGACAGGCAGGAAACTTTGCCTGTGCTATAGTATATACAAAAGTAAGACTCAAAAAGCTAAGAATATGAGTAGGACAAAATCCATGCCAAGCAGCATAAGAACATCCCTGTAAATGTGGACAAGAGCAGGAACAAGAGCATCTGACTGGGGTCCAGGAAAGTAGAGATGTGGTTGAGATTGAGCCAGATAAAATGCATGAGTTTCATTCAGTAGAGATGTGTGAGTGAAGCTTTCCAGGCAGAGGGAACAGAGCAAGGAGGCAAGAAAATATGGGGTTATTCATAGATACATAGCACTTTGTCTTCCTGGGGCACAGAGGAGGAGAAAAAGCTGGAAACACAAATGATAACTTGATGGACTGCCTGAAATACCAAGCTGAGAAGCCTACTGAGTTGGCTAGGGGATGGAACACCAAAGGAGGTTTTGTTTGTTTGCTTGCTTAATTTCTTAAAGGTGACTGTTATAAGTTATAATCCAACATCAGTGCTTAAGATGTTTTGGAGCAGGGAGACACTAAAGCTAGGCAGCAGCTTGTTAGGAGGCTACTCCAACTGGCTCAGACAAAAGTAATGAGGGATGGAAACTAGAGGAGTGGCAAGGGGAATACAAAGGCAGAAAAAGATATGAGAAACTCAGTGTAGGTGGTAGGCAGAGACTGTGGCTCCTGATTGGATAGAGGTGCAGATGGGAAATTCAGAGATGCCTAGAGTTTGAGTCTAGGTAACTGTAGTCCTATCAGGAGAAACCAGGGTGGTCAGAGAAAGAACTGATTTAAAAGAATAAGAGGATAAAGCCCTTGGCTTCCAATGTCCTAGTTTTCATCCAGATGGTGGGTCATCTGAATGGAGCCACCCAGGAGTCAAGTGGAAGGTCAAGTCTAGAGCAAGAAGAAAGAACAGAGTGGAGGGCAGATGTCAGGAATAACTCTGCCTTGAAGTCTGGGGTGAAGACACAATGAGATATTGCTCCACAAAGCTGGGCTTGGCCCTTGATTCTTCCTCAAACTTAAGGGAAGCCAAATAACTTTCCAGGAATGACTGGATATGTGTTGCTGTGTTTCCAGCTTACCACTTTCCTGGTGAAATAAGCTTCTTTCTGCTCTTCACAGAACATCCCAAAGGAGAAAAGAAACCCAAAGCCAGCCCCTGTTCCTCACTGGGTCACGGTCACCATCTCTGCAAGGAAAAGCCAGAGACCCCAAAAGAAGTCTTTGCTCTTGCTCAGCTCCCATAAAAGCCCCATCCCTCTGTCTAGCCAGCCTAATTTTCCAATCACCTGAAAGTCCCTTGAGTTCTGCCTCCCCAAAACCCCTTATGTCACCACTAACTACCACCGCCTTACCTCATTTAACCTTCTAATTATGAAAAACTGTTTTAATTTGCTACTCTGTGGAATCATTATGTCCACAACATTGCAATGTGTCAAGGTAACAGCTTAAATGAGGTGAGGGATCTTACAAGTTTACAGGGACACAGACCAGAACAGATGGCTAAATAAAAGCAGAGGCCAGTCACCCATTAAGTAAACAGGTAAGAACCTTTTTTATCGCCATCCGGTAGCTTGTTGCAAAATAACAGTTTTCTTTGAAGGAGACCCAGATGGGATTTGTGCCTTTTGTCTACTCCAGAGCTCAGCATGGCTCTCTGGTTCTCCTGCTTGCTGCACTGCATTGCATGGCTGGGGGTTTAGGGACAAAGGCACAGAGGGCCTTTCTGAATTCGCTGATCTCGCGTAGCCACACATACATAATGCATACATGAGAGGAAAATAAATCAACCATTTGGAGAGAAACTTCAAAATGGAATGAAATCACAGTTGTAAGAGTCTGCTCCCTAGTAATCCATGTCTGCCTCCCATGTTTTATCAAAGGGAACCAAGTAATAGCACAGAGAGGATGAGGGGAGCAAATGGAGAGTGGAAGCCAGACAGACTCCTCTGTGCTTGACCTGGAATCATATTCTGCAGTGGGCAGAGGTGTTCCTTTCATAGCTCAGGCTTTGCCTGGACCAGACTCTTTGCCTTTTTTTACGTTTCAATATTCTTCTTTAACATGAAAGCATTCTCAGAGTGCTGATATAAAACCACCCTGAAATTTCACTAGAAAAGGTATAATTTCAAGCACATTCTGTACTTCAGACAGCAAGGACACAGGACGCCACATTGACACGCATCCTTCCAGCAGTCATTCCTGCCAAATCATGACCTTGAGTTTCAGCAATTACAATAAAGCCCGTGGATGAGGCTTTTGGAAGTCTACCACACCAGAATGCAGTGAGAATGTGTGTGTGTATTTGTGGGAGGGATGTGGGAGATGGGGAAGTAACAAAATACTAATACATATGATATATATGAATGTATTTACTCCTCTAAGCCACTCATTGAGCCCATGCTCTGTACAGACTTGGTGAGGTGCTGAAAAAGCAGAAATAAAACCCTAAAAGACATGAAATGATGCCTCCAGACAGTCACACCTTATTGCAACTGGCAAGTAAACAGAAGGGTAGAATGCCACATATCAAATGAGGTAATGGAGGTTACGCACAGGGCACTGTACCAGCTCAGAGGGAGTGGGAAGGGTTGTGCGGGGGACAGTTCAGGGAATGCTTGTTTGGGGAGGCAGCATTCAAAAGGAGTCCTGAAGAATGAGGAGGAGTTAGACAAGTGAAGATGGAAAGGGCATTCCAGGCAGAGGGAACAGCATAGACTAAGGCCTTTGGTAAAGAACACACAGACTATGTGGTGGGAGATGATGGTAGGGAAGTAGATGGGGTTCAAATCCAAACACAAAAAATAGTAAGCCAAACACATTCAGTCAGTTGCAATTATCTGTCCCATCCATCTTCGTTAGGATAATGAAAGGATAAATGCATACAAGTGCTATGCTTTATAGTTCTAAAACGTTCTTCACTTTCCAATCAAGTGAAAATATATCAATCACGTCATATTATTTGAAATTGCCTTCTAACACACCACAATGCCTTGTTTCCAGTTACTTAAGTTTATTCCATCAGTGACTTGTTCAAGCAATTGTTCTAAGTCCATCAACACTCAGCAAATTAGAAGACTCTACCTATTTCTCTGCTCTATGTCTAACAATCTGTTTATGGAAGCAATTGCTGCTGCCTTTACTGAAGTAATCGGGGCATCTCCTAGATCCAACAACCAGCAACTAGGTAAGAAAAAACAACAATTAAGTACTCATCAAGTTTATGATGTATAAGACTCAATCTGACAAACTTTCCATACTGCAAAAATAGGCATTAAATTTAATAGGCCATTCCTCTAAGATCAGAAGTATGAACTTAGGGGCATCTGGCTGGCTCAGTCAGTAGAGCATGTGACTCTCAATCTCAGAGTCATAATTCAAACCCCATGTTGGGCATGAAGCCTACTTAAAAAAAAAAAAAAAAAGTATGAACTTAATACGAAAATGCACCATTCTGGCACACAGTGAGTACTCAAAAATGGAAAATGTTATCATTATAACTACTAATTGTCAGAGACTTGTTGGCTGTTAGCCAGTTGGTAAGAATTGGCCAGCCCATGTGAATGCATGATAAAAACTTGGAGATCTCTTTTCTCAAATACTCCAAGCAGCTGCACACCCTTGAACTATTCAGTCCACCCGAGCTCTGAGAGAATGTCACTGTGCCCAAATAGATCTGATGAATTGCTTTAGGGAAAGCTTTCTCTTTCTTTGTTCCTCATTTTGGGCAAGTCTGAAGGGGCCTTTAACAGCTGAGACATTTAGAATTTAATCCCCTCTGTGCTGCAAAAATATGCATCAAAAATGTGGCATTCCAGTTGCTTGCTCTTTAGAGTTGGAATATCATTTATCAGACTTATAGCAGAAATACCTATTTCAAAATAAAACCCAAAGAGAATTCATGATTTAGGGAGAAAACAATTGCAAATATTTGTACCTAGCAAATTTGCAAACTATATTAATGTTTGTATGTTTTTATTCTTTCCACTACAGAATTAGTCTTTAATCTCAGGATAAAGTCTTTACCTTTTAATTTAGTCAGCTGCTAGACTTTTTGTTTCTTTTTCATAAATGATTAACAATAGTATAAAGCTGTATTTTTCCATTTAAATAGTATTATTTAATTACCAAAGTAGTTGCTTTCCAGTATATATTTTGTCCATATGCTGTCATTTATCAATAATAAATATTTGTGTTGACTGTTTATTTATATCAGTGCACAAACCCCCTCACATCTTGACAAGTGCCTACCCGTTACATATGTGTGACCTTATCAAATACAGATTCTTCTCCCATATAGAAAATTGTATCATCAA